GGCTGATTGTTTTTAATTGTAAGTTGTAGAGAAAGGCTAGTTAATCATCTTTAAGGGTAAGTTGTAGAGAAAGGCTTTTCTCTACAACTTACCCTTAAAGATGATTAACTCCACTGGTTGATTATCTTTAAGTATAAATTGTAGCGTACGACTATTTAATTATCTTTAACATCTTCGCTGCCACGTGCCCGACTTTTAGTTATGGATCGCGTGACACACTGGTGGGATACATATTAGAAGTGGCTTCAATGAGCTAATTAAACATAACATAATTACCCATATAAATATTAGAAACCTGGGTTAAGTAAGAAAAGAAAAGTGTGATTGGCACTAAGGTAGGTATTATTAATACTACTGGTGGCGGCGAACGTGTTAAGTGTAGATTGTAGAGAACGACTGGTTGAGTATCTTTAAGTGTAAGGTAAAGCCAGTGGCTGCTACAAAATTTCAACAATAAAAATAAATGGATATCTACTTACTTACCTTTAGCTGTAAGAAGAGGTGAAGATAAATTCTGTGTTTCAAAAAACAACGGAAGGCCATAGTCAGTAATCTTTAACACCCATCGACTATCAATAACACAATTTCTCGACGTAAGATTTCCATGATGTTTCACTGGACAAGAGTGAAGATATCTCATGCCCTAAAATGAAATAAAAATGTTTTGCCACTAAGTAACAAAATGATAAATAAAAAAAATCGAATAATTTGTTTGTGAATTTTGGAGTAAACTTAAAAAAAACTAGATCTTTTTCATTGTGTAAATAATTAAATACAAGATCTCCTGGTATTTTTCCTAAACATTATTTATATACAAGCATGAAATAAGTAGAGGGTTTGGTGATTTAATTTGGATTAATATTACTTTTACTACTCAGCGCATAAACTTAGATACACTTCAAGTACTAAATGATTTACAAAAATGGTGAATAACCGTAGATATTATAACACGTAAATCATTATAGATCATAATGGTTAAGATAAACATATTGGATATGTACAGAAAAAACAAACTAAGAGAATTGAATTAGTAAGTATCAAAATGTTAGGGTGAATTCTATTCACCCTCGAAAAGAAAACAAGTACTTAACTCTGATCACGAGGACTTTCACCATACTATTGCACCACCTCTACAATTTACACTGTTGAAACAATAAAAACAGAGTGTATTACCACCTCTACAACTTACACTGTTGAAACACTAAAAACAGAGTGTATTACCACCTCTACAACTTACATTATTGGAACAATAAAAACAGAGTGTATTACCACCTCTACAACTTACATTATTGGAACAATAAAAACAGAGTGTATTACCACCTCTACAACTTACATTATTGGAACAATAAAAACAGAGTGTATTACTACCTCTACAACTTACACTGTTGGAACAATAAAAACAGAATGTATTACTATCTCTACAACTTACATTGTTGAAACAATAAAAACAGAGTGTATTACCACCTCTACAACTTACATTATTGGAACAATAAAAACAGAGTGTATTACCACCTCTACAACTTACATTATTGGAACAATAAAAACAGAGTGTATTATACGGTTATCTGGAAGATATAGTATATATACAACATTCACAATAATTAAGTCAGATTTTTTTCCCCCTTCTTCTCACATTTTGGTCTCAAATCCGACTCATGGTTATCTCTCTATATATACTTTATCGTCAATGGGTAAAAATTTTAATGCGACTTATCATACCATAGCACACATTTTCAGTTATTCATTATCCCCAGTTTCTTAAAAGCACCACTGAATTCGTACTTTCCTGTACACGTCTGGTATAAGGGTTTTCAGTATGGTTGTCGGATACCATGCAACAGATTTTGTAATGTTCTCTGTAGTATCTGTTGGAGATGATCGAATTCCTGACGAATGCTGAAGAGATTGACGTATTAGGACACAGTTTAATGAGTGTTGTGTTTGCATGTTTGCCTACGAGTCATCTTTTGTCTCGATCAGTCGGCAGTGGTTTCTCCTAATGACATCAGCATCACATCTCAAGTGTCAATGTCGATAAACTCTGATAACAGGTGTTTCTAAACAGACAGACAAGGATATGAGAATGAACACTGATAAAGATTGTTCTTCTAGATAGTTTTCACCATCGTGCCGCTCTGAAAGTCGGAAAGATGTTTGCTCTTCTCGTTGTATCACAGACTAACCATGATTTAATACGTAGAGCTCAGACAATCACCTGATACATAATACGACCACGTTATTTTACATATACAAAAAATTAGGGATTTATATATTGAAACACGTTTAAAACTTAACCAGATATAAACGTCGTAGTAGGTTTTAAAAGACAAACAATTTCTTTAAATCATAATAAGTAGATAATATCATGCATCCCGAAAGACCCTAACAAGACTTAATCTAGCCAAGTCTCCATATTATACGCCACAGTGTGTCCTAACAAGAGTTGATCTAGCCAGATCTCTCTATTATACGCCACAGTATGTCCTAACAAGAGTTGATCTAGCCAGATCTCTCTATTATACGTCACAGTGTGTCCTAACAAGACTTAATCTAGCCAAGTCTCCATATTATACGCCACAGTGTGTCCTAACAAGAGTTGATCTAGCCAGATCTCTCTATTATAAGTCACAGTATGTCCTAACAAGATAGCCAGAGCTAGATATTAAACATCACAGCAGGTCCTAATAAACTTCTTTTAGCCAAATCTGTAGCAATACTTACTTGAATTAGATTCGCGGGTCATGCTAGTTTCTAGTAAGTCTTAATCTATGTGTTTTGAGTAATAAAATATTCACATTGATTACTTTAACTAAGTTTACAGACCATGATTAGTGTTAGTAAGATTTGTTAGTATTCTTATGAAGCAAAAGCATGACCTATTTCTTATTTCGGATAACAATTTCTGAAGATTGTTTTGTTCTATAAGTTTTAATTAGACTTACTCGAACTAGATCTGTAAGCAAGGACAATTTAAACGACCAGTCCAGTTTAATATCTTCATTTTCCAAGACGTTCGCCAGACTCCCACGTGAACAGTGTTCCCATACCAGAACAGGCTCCTGAGGGTCGGCCATGCACCCCAGGAAAGGATTGATGTTCTCGTGACGCAACTCGTACATCTGAAGCAAAAGACAAGGGTTAAGTGATGTCCATCTTAACTACTCAAAAATAAGAACGTAATACGATTGAAACCGCTCGTAGTCATCTTCAAACTGCTTGGGGCTCTCAACACGCACAGTTTTATAGTAAATGTTCTGTTAATCTGGGATTAATAAGTTCTTAATCCTCTAATTAAAATGCTCGAAAAGAAAGTCGAAAGTAAAACATTAAATAAGCTTACTATTTCCCAACACGTAAACGGTGATTTAGTTTCAAGCAGTTTATTTTTACCATGGTAACCGATTACTTTTAGTAATAAGAGTAATAGGTAAACATGCTGTTACTATTCACCAATTGTTATCTCTCAAAAAGTGAACACTAAAATTGGAACCAATGTATCAGCCGAGCATGCGTGGTAAAAGCGGGCTATCAAAATTTGACTAGGGTGAAATAAATTCAACGAAACTGGTTGGTCTCATCGTGGTAAGTCTGTCATTTGTGATTACCACTATAGAATTTGTTTCAAGAAAATTTATGATAAAGAAATAGTAGTTTTTGATATCACTCTTCTAAAATGTATCATTTTAGAAAACTACTTGGTATGGAACCATTTTAGAGCAACAGATATTATTTATTCTGGATATATTCCATTATAATAGGTCACTTAGCTTGCTTTATAGAATAATTTAATTACGATAGATAGCTTTCTGTAATAGCATTCTTGTATAGCATAATTTTAAATTTGTGGTAATCTTTGTTTTTCTGCACAATGTTTTTTTTTCTAAAATAGAAAGATTCATTTCGTCATATTGATCATTTCATTAAACTTAAATATTAAACGTTCAAAGAAAGACTATTATGATTAGTAATTTTGAGAAGGACCGACACAACTACAGCTGTCATCAGTACATAAAATCTTGAAACTTTACTACATCTATTATGTTCTAGCGCAAGATCAATTATTCCCTTATACAGGATGACCCAAAGTTAATAGGATTCCGACGAATTATATATATATGTACATAATTATCTCTTCGGAGCTGGGGAAAGCTGAGTAATCGCTTGTACACCTTTGAAGCAATACAGGTAATTGTGAAATAGATATTTCAAGCAGTAAAGAACTGTGATAGCAGCAATTTTCACGATTATGTATGTTCTATCATTCTCTGCCCTCCATTTATGAAATGGAACGTTCTAGAATATTCCGCTGAGTTTTTATTTATTAAGACAAATCAGGTACAGGAAAATATTAAATATTTTGGAAGCTGACTACAAACAATGACGATGTGTAAGCAGTAGACTAATTCTGATAAAGGCTGGTATAAATGCATCCGGCTGAATAGAGCTAGAAATGGGGGAAGTTGGGTAGAAGGGGCAAAATGCTGCAAATAAAGAGACCTAAAGATATTTCTTTTTGATAAATGTTATACAATGTAAAGTGATAAAAAAAATTCGATTTGGCTAAATGCTACAATGTTTGTTTTAGAGCAAAGCCACATTGAACTATCTGCTGTGTCCATTGCGGGGAATCGAATCTCGGATTTTAGCGTTGTAAGTCTTTAAACTTACCGCTGTCCCACCGGGAGACTGCTACAAATGAAAAAAGAAGTGTTTCTTTTTGAGCACTAGAAACTTTTTGGGGTACCAACACCCTTTACAATGTATGGTCATTTAAGGCTGTCTCTCATTATAAAAATATTAGTCTACCGTATTGCTCAGTAATGACCAAAACTAGTCCGCTGTATCGTGCTTACTCCCCCAGTGGGACAGCGATAAGTCTACGGACTTACAACGCTAAGATCGGGGGTTACATTCCCCGCAGTTGACTCAGCAGATAGCCCAATCTGGCTTTGTTCTAAAACAATTAAACGAAAACCAAATCAGTGTCGTGATTTAGGTGAGCTACAGTGCACTTGTTAAATTGAGCCAGTAATATACTTCGAGGCACTTCAACTTAATCGAAAATGGTCAAAAAGATAAAATAACTTATATACCTGAAGAAGCTGGTTCATTGCTTTGGTTTTCACTTCAAATGTTGTAGCTGTGATAAAATGTTTCAGATGCACCATGTCACCCTAGGAAATAAAAAGTGTTCAGGTACAGCTTAAAACATATCCAATACGAAAAATCTAATATAGGATAAGTTATGCGTAATTAGAAAACTGAACGGAAATTTCACCTGTCATTAAATCTAAATGTTACTGTAACGTTAATGGCGAGTTTCTGTTGATGGGTTATATATGATTGTATATATGAAAATAGTTTATAAATATTCGAGCTTAACAAATAATGAAAGGATAGACTCGTTGCTTTTGTTATTTTTTCTTAAGAAGAATTACATTTTAAAATTCAAACTAATTTTCAAATTAATTATCTATTAAAATCAAGACTTTCAACGTAACCTCACAAACTCAATTAATAATAGTAATGAAATAGAAAACTTTACATCAGCAAAACAAACTCTAAGTTTTTAATGCTGGTTGGTTGCTTTCACAATGAACCAATTATTAAGTGAACGTCATAAGTAAAGATATAATTTGAGAAGTTTTATTCATAAATTTGTTTCAGAATTTCAGACAAAGATACGTGAGAGTTAGTTGGACATAGTAAAGGGAAGGCAGCTAGTCAAAATCACCTTGGATTACTTTTATCTGATAATATAGTAGGATTTGACCACCAATTCTTGAATGGAGCCCATTGTCTCAAATGCAGAGCACGTTTTTGAGGTAACGTGTCATTATGTTATGATTCATTTGAATGTAGCAACTGAGACGCGTTTGTACGACCAATGGTTTACATTTCATATGCGTTGCTTGTCCATTGGATGTATTCTTAGTACCATTGCAGGCATTATGGTGTTTTAAGAAGCTTGATATTGTTGGGGATGGTAAGAGGAACCCATCACTCGCTTTAAAAACGAATAATTCTTTCGTCTTGTTCATGACTGTTTTTTCTTGAGAAAGAAATTCACGAATTTGCAATGAATACTTACGATTTTACGTCAGTTAATTGTTTATATTATACACTGCTCAAAACAATCAAAGGATATTGGAATTAGCGATATTATATCCATGGGACCATGACAAGGGAAAAATGATTTTCTAAAATATTGTCGATCGCCTCTCTTGTGCGCAAATCAGACTCTCGGTTGATTGGTGATGTGATATGAAATGTAAATGATTGGTCATTCATTGTTTACAATTTGACATTTGGTAACTAGGGAGTTAGATTCTTATAGTTCTTGGCATTTCCTTTCAATATGGACTATGGTCATCACTAACAATAAGGAGAACCTGGAATCAATGTTTCATGCTTTAAAAAAAATTAGAATGTTGATAAGGTACAGAAGTATTTTTGACCACTTCTCTGCAAGAGCTGTATCCAGGATATCATTATGAAAGAGTTGTATCAAAGATATCTTTATGAAAGAGTTGTATCCAGGATATCTTTATGAAAGAATTGTATCCAGGATACCTTTATGAAAGAGTTGTATCAAAGATATCTTTATGAAAGAGTTGTATCAAGGATATCTTTATGAAAGAGTTGTATCCAAGATATCTTTATGAAAGAGTTGTATCAAAGATATCTTTATGAAAGAGTTGTATCAAAGATATCTTTATGAAAGAGTTGTATGAAGGAGATATTTGTGAAAGAGCTGTATCCAGGATATCTTTAGCGTCTGGAGTCGCTTGACAGGATCTCACTATTGTCATATGCGTTACGTTTTTGGAAGAAGAGGGAACAGATATGATAACAAAGTAAAGTACAACTCAGCTGTAGAACTAATAGTGCTCTGTATATTGTTGGTCCATTGACCACGTCGCGTGAACAAAATTCTAGTTCTTTTAGCCCTGTGGTTCACTTCAACATGATAAAAGAAACGAAGTTATATAATTATAAACCGAGAAATGATTACCAATAACCTGGATTTCAGAACTAACCACCCACACTACGTAACAAAGAAAAGATTATTTTAGTTAGAATTATTATGTCAGAGGTATCAATGAAATAAATTCCTATTATCTTAGAGCTTACATTAATCATGTTTATTTCTTGTTTTGTATGAAAAGTGCTTTTTTCTCAATCCAAACTTTATTTATTCGACGTATTGGCTAAACGGTTTGGTCAGTGACCTCAAGGTTAGGGCATATATATGTAATGCTATCTACAAGTGGAAGTGGTACTAATGAATCCACATTTTGTACTTCCTTATGACCAATCCAACAAACGTATGTAGAGCTTTTGTTTTACATGTTCAATACAACCCACTAACGGTAAAGTGAGGGGTTCATAACTCTTTAGACAATAAACTGATTGTGGTCTGTGAAATATTTTCTCTTCTAATTTACAAAAAAATCAATGAAGCTGTGACGGATTTACTATTATATATCTATTTTAATATCGATATTTGTTTAAGATAAATCTATATGTAGAAATGTACATAACTTATACTGTTAAATCTGTATTGCGATATTCCCACCTATTCACTAAAATTGTAGAAAATTCTCGAGTGTAAGAATCAACAATATTTATATGTGTGTACGTTAACACTGGTGTATCGTTTATATTGTTGCGTAAGCTGAAATATCGAGAAACTCTCTTCACGCCTATAACCAATGCGACACGCCAAAAGACAGTATATATTTATTTTTTATATAGTTGGTGTACTATAATCCTCGGAAGCTATAACTGTGATTAACGCTTGGTAATCGGGAACTTCAGATATCTGACTAGGAACATTTATAGATCTCGAACATTTCAAACTATTTAACTTCAGCGGATTCATATCGGACATTAGTACTTCTAGGAAGATATTATATAACTTCATCGGTGGAAAAACTCGACTTCTGACCATTGAAAAATATTAAACTAACTAGCTCCCTGTTAAGTGAATTGTATCTACACTAACTCAAAATCAGTTCGATCATCGTCATCCCTCGATAAGATATCAAGGAAGTTCCAGACCAGATAGAGGACTAAATATTGTTTGTAAAACTTTTTAAAACTTTTTACATAGATCTTTATTTGTAATAACTATTATTGTAAATTGTGTTATTGTTTGTATATAAAATA